CCCCCCCCCCGCCCCCGGCATCAGAAATATCATGGATGAATTGCAAAGAAATTCTGGGCTTGTCTCACTTGGCTTGGTCACCTTCTGCTGAATTATCTCTTCTTTACGGAGTGGTAAAGTGGTTAAATGGTTAAGGCACCAGGCTAGAAACTGGGAATCCATGAGTTTTAGTCCCACCTCAAGCATAAAGACAGACCTTGAGCCAGTCATTCTCTCTCAGCCCTGGGAAGGAGGCAATGCCAAACCACTTCTGAAATGTTGCCAAGAAAACTGCAGGGACATATCCAGGCAGTCACCAGGAGTCAAGGCTGACTTGAAGGCACCAAAACAAACAACCAAACAAACCAACTCTGTATCTAGAAAGGAACTGCCCAAAGGCTTCCCCAGATCGCTCTTGCCTGCCTATTGGGTGACTGGGAGGACAGCTAGTGATAATCAAGTGACCTGAGATTTCTAATTTTTGATTGTGGGTGTGTTTATTTTTTTTTACTTCCCCCTTTTTTTCCTGTGAAGGAGCTCAGGTTGGCCAGAAGTTGTGTTCCTTAGTAGCCTCCCCCTCTAAGCATTGGCCAGACCCAGACTAGACTGTGTAAGCAGGACTGCCACAGAAGTTTTAGTATTTGCAGGCTGGCCATGTATGTTCAAGCTGTGACCTCTCCAGCTGAAAGCACCAAGTGATGTGAAAATCTTCTGTCTGCCATCAGAGGAGGTATTGCACCAGCCTGATCTAAGGCAACCTCCTTATGTTCCAGATTGGCCCTTGCCTAAGTCTCCTTTAAGAGGATCTCAAATAACAAAGCTGCGCAAGAATTCTCCCAAGAACTTGGAGAACTGCTGCCAGTCTCAAAATAGCCAGCACTTGGCTCAGCTGGACCACTGGTCTCTGGCAGCATAAGCGGATGAGCTCAGTGTAAGGTGGTGCATCTACCTATCTTCAACTCCTGAAATGTAATTCATGATTTTACCTATTTTGTAGATCCGTGAGGCCAGAACACCCATATAAGCACCCCTGTCCCATTTCGAGACCCATCTTTGGTATCCCAGAAACCTGTTTCTACTCTGCCCATATTGGGTCAGAAACTAAGCTCCGTTAATTCAATGGGATTTCACTTGGTTATGTTTGCAATATGTTATCGATTCGGGGAGCATCGGTAGACTGGCAAACAGACTAAAAATGCTTATTCAAAATCCCTATTTCTCTCTAAATCTGCATCCTCTGTTCTTACTTCTCCTGGATCTGAAGATGGTCATGAATGACTTTTATTCTCCCTGCGTGAAGATCAGCAGTTCATTAACCCAGTTCCTCCAACCCATTCCATGCACACCCGAAAGAGTTCAAAACCGCAGGCGGCCAAACCACTCCCGCGCTGCGACCTCCTGAAAGAGACGGCGATTATCCCACGCGTTGGCACGAGCGGGGAGCAGCCCACGCAACCTGCACAACACCGCGCCACGCCGCGTCGGCTCCGCTGTCTTCTCCCACCGCGTTACCGCACGGGCTGGAGAGAGGACGAGCTCGGGTGCCTCTTACCTGCGTCGCTCCAACCACGGGCGTGCAGCGAGGTGGGGAGGGGATTCCCTTCCCGTGCAAGGCAGGCGCGGCAAGAAGCTGCCAAGGGAGGCGGCTGGGGAGAGCGAGTGGCAGCAACTCCCTCCCGAAGAGCCCCAGCTGCAGGTTAACCCCGCGCCTTCGCCTGGCTCCTCGAGTCACGACGGGGGAAGCGCCCCCCCCGCCCGCGCTTCCCTCCTTCTCTGTGTTTTGGACGGGCTTTAAAAGTTTCGGCTACCGTCCGCATCCGTTTAACGCCCCCTACCGATCTTCCGCTGAGTTAACCCTTTCTGTCGAGAACTTGGTAGCGCGTTGGAAATTTTGTACTTTTATCACCGGGAGCGGTGAAATGGTATCCCGCCGGCCTGAACTTTGCAAAGGAACCAAATCATATTTTAAAATTTGCATGCCCGCTACGTGCCGGGTTTTTTACAAGGAAAGGGAACGGCATTCCTGACCTTCAGTCTCTCTCAATCAGACTCTCACATACGGAAAGTATTTTACTTATTTGCAGAGGAGTTCCAAGTTACAGCACCGTCATCCTCACCACCACCACCACCACCGTCATTACCGTTATTATTGTTTAAGTTGCAGTCCTTCTGCAATTAATAGAATATGAGTTTATTTTCCCCTAAAATTCTGGAATTCGGAGGAAAGCGCAGGAACTCTTGTGGTCAAACATCTGCAAGGTAAAGAGAAACAACGGCGGGCTTGAGGGAGCCTCAAGCTTCGCAGGAGTGAAAAAATAGTAAAAATAGATTGCGAGTGGGACCAAAACCAGTGCTGGGAGAATAAAACCGAATCAGCATGGCTGGTTGGGACCTGGAACAGGAGCACAACATTTTGTTGCCTGTCCCCCTTGCTAACAGCCATTAATCAGGACGCCTCGCCGGAGCTTGCAAATTCAGAGGTTGTATGTTCCCGGCTACCAGATGTGGGTGGGGTGGGGTGGGGGGAATATTGTAGCTCCTTTGCCTTTCCTACTGGTTGGACTTCAGGAGCCAGGATGAGCAACAGCAGGCAGCTCTAGGCCCTTCCACACGCAATGGGGCTTCACAGCTACGCGGCCCATTGACTTGGGAAAACAGCAGTGTGTGTTTCCTACTTTTCCCCCCTTCCTGGCTCCCTTCTGAAATCAAGTATGATGCTATCTCGCTGTCCTTCCTCCATGATCATGATCACTTATTAGCAGTTGCCTCGCCACTGTCCTGGATAATGATTGTTTTTCTTCCCTGCCAAACAAGCATGGTGAGGCACGAATTGGGGCTCGGGGTGCACAGCATTGGGTAGAGCAGTGTTTCTCAACCTTGGCAACTTTAAGATGTGTGGTCTTCAACTCCCAGAATTCCCCAGGCAGCATGCTGGCTGGGGAATTCTGGGAGTTGAAGTCCACACAACCTAAAGTTGTCAAGGTTGAGAAACACTGGGATAGAGCGTAGTTATGCTCCCTTGTGGGTAGTAATGATGAGGGTGGTGTGGCAGATGTGCAGTTCTGAGGGCTTGGGAGCAGGGATGTCTGCAGGAGGGATCAAAAAAAGACTAGATGGCAGCCACAGTCAAGGCTGCCATCTTGACTTTTTTACCCCCTGCCTCCCCTCTGCGGATACCCCTGTTGAGGTGAGGTGAGAATGGAGAGCGTGTGGAAGGACCCTAGATTAACTTTGGTTAAATCCAACAGGATTGTTATTCTGCTTTTAAATGTGATGATCTGAGGAACTTTCAAGATTCACTTCATCATTTTTTAAGCCAATTAGAAAAACAAAAGAATTAAATCTCTCAAAAAATGAAACATTCACAAATTGATATCTCATTTTAAAGCCGGGGTGGGCAACCCATAATCTGTAAGCTGCATACAGCCTCGGCCTCATTTTGAAAAACCTGCAGCCTGTCATGTGTACTGCCAAAATCCTGGAGCAAAATGCCAGTTTTCCATAGTACCTTTTTGCCCCCCTTTTATGGTTAAAAATACCAGGAATGAAATCCTTCCAGAATCTCCAACCCTCAAAATGTCAGTTCCACCTATATGATGATACCATTGTATCCTCAGCAATGCATTTTGCAGCCTTCAGAGGCCATTAAAAAAAAAAAAAAAAAAGGAGACTGCAGCTTTTGGCCCCAAAAGTTGTTTGTGCCTGTCCTAAACTTTTGTACAAGAAAGGCTTCATTCATGAGGATTTTTTCCAGATTACATTGAGTTAATATAGGAAAATCCTTCCACCTTTGCTCTACCATACCATACCATACCATCATCATCAGTACATGGAAAATCTTTGTATACTTTAAAATGTGATATAAAATACAATAGCAGTAACACCAAAGAAGGGGCTATAGCAACGAATCAGAGTACAGCAGAAAACGGGATGGGTGAAAGGGAACAATTTTAGTGCTTTTATCTTGAGTGGTCCTCAATAAGAGATTTAAACAGAAGCTTTTATTTCTAGCCTCGAAAATCATGGTCTTTAATTGTGGCAGAATGGACCTCATCCTATGTCTTCTAGTGTCAGGAGGATGTTACAATTTTTCTTAAGATGCAGCAGAGCAGAGAGTTCAGTGGGGCACACATGCCTGGAAATAAGCCCCTTTAATGTATTATTGAATAAATACACATTTGACTGAATATGTAAGAAAAAAAGAAGAATCCTTTTTACACACTTTATTTACTGTGGCATAAGCATTTATTCTAGTAGTATCTAGTAGTACCTACTTGCTTAGCATGTACTGAATACTGCATGTAAGATGTTTTAAAAACTTTGTCTGCATTGTATCTCAGTCCTCGCAGCCTTCTTGTAATATAAACCTTTCATGAGAAAGTCCTCAGGCTGGAATTTTATCTTTTATCTGTATCAAGAGACTTTGCATCTAAATATCTTAGTATTAGCACATTTGATAGGATTGCCAGACCATGTTTCTTTGTGCCATATATTTAAGTAGCTTAAATGTATCAGTGTAAGCTTTCCCTGGCATGGAGATAAGCAACGGGCAAAACAGTTCGATGGGACTGGCTTCAGTGAAAGAAACTGGACTCCCCTATCTTAGCCAGAATACATTGATAAATTCTATTCAATGTACAAAAATATGAATGAATGTGAATTTGTATTGGGGACCTCTTTCTAATCTTTTAGCAATTCCCCAGAGAATCCTACACTAATACATTTGCTAAAAGAGAAAAAATGCACCATCAAGAGACATGATTTATATTTCCATATGCCAGTTTATTGATTGACTGATAGATAGATTGTGTTATATCATTTAAACAGAACCACATTTGAACATATGGGAGTCTGTGATCTGCTGAATTGTTGGCTCTTCCTCACAATCATGTTAGTGTTTTTTCCCATGCTTTGTTAGGCAGAACATTAAGCCACCATACTTTGTATTGTCCATATTACCGAACAAGTCCAGGGAGTGCGGCTGTCCTTACAGTTGTAATGCTGGACAAGTTAAAGAAAACTATTGGTGGACTCTCTTGGGGTCATTTGCCTTCTCATTAAATGTCATCAACCAGCAGGGAAAACATCTGCCAATCACTCCTCTTAATGTAGGCTGGGTTGGTTTTAATGGAGGGCTAGAGCAGCTGGTTTAGCTGTTGATTCTATTCTGAACTATGGTAGTGCTAAACCCATGTTTAAAAGTAAATGTCTGAAAACAAGGAACTGCAAATAAAGAAAAGATACTAATGCTGGCAGGAGAAATAAATGAAGTTCACCAGCAAGGTGACAGGTGCTGATGGAGACAGTGCCTGTGGAAGAGGGAAGATCTTTGCTAGGCAAGGAAGAGACTATAGCCAGAAGTTGGAACCTGGATTCAGGAAAAGGTGGATTGAGTTGCAATGAAAGGAGATGGGTGTGTGGTGGTGGGGGGGGGGGTGCGTGGCAAGAGGACCTGCAGGCTCCAAAAGGATTCCTTCCAAAGCTACTTCTCTTCCATCCACTTCCTTCCTCTGCCAAATCCAGGTGTTCTGTCTCCATGCCCAAACCAAAATGGCCATGGAGGGTATTGCTGAGCAACTGGAGAAGAAGGGCGTGCCCACACAGCCTGAAGTGGCAAATGGCAGCTGGACAGGTGCCAGCTTGACTGCATCATCAACCATACATCAATGAGGTGACACAGCGAGGCATCTTTGCGCTGAAGTTAGAGGGTTGTGGGCTGACCCCTGTATGTCTGCTTCATCTGCTGTTTCAAGTGCTACCGGCTGCCTTGCTTACTGTTTTATGATTCTTTCTCTTCCAATCACATTTGGACTGGACAGTCTTTCAAATGGAAGACAGTAGAGGGCTTCCAACTGCACAGGGCTACTAGATCTCAAATTCAAAAAAGAAGTCATGTCTGCATTATTAATTTGTATATTTGTTTATATAATATTTGCATAACATTTTAGTCACTTGGCCATAACAATATCAGCCTATACCTTTGGTTGTGTTTTACTATGCCAGCTTTCAATCATGTGTAATATTTTTAAAGAAGCTTTATTTGACTTCTATAGCCCAAAACACCATAACAGGGTTTGATAAGACAGCAAGCAGTAATATAAATCACTGCAATATTTTATTCATCTGATGTGCTAAAGTATCCAAAAATAAACTCAAACCATTTTTAAATTTCTTTCCTTTATGTTTCTTTTTGCTGTGCCCATGCATATTTATCATTACAGTAACTCTTTAATAGAGCTGGATAGTTCAATGAATTTATGTGGAAGTTTTTTCAGTAGCAATCCATTAGCTTAGTGAGGAAAGAACAGCAAGGAAGAAAGGGAAAAAGGGGCTAGGAGAAGGAAATCTTAATCAGTTTTGGTTACTTTGTTTCCCACTGAGTTTTTATTATGTCTGTCTGTCCGTCCGTCCATCCATCCATCCATCCATCCATCCCACATTTATATAGCCGCCACAAAGCGACTCTGGGTGGCGTACAACAATGAAATAAAATAACAAATAGATAGAATTTGCCTCCCATAAGACATGTCTAAAATATTCTGTATATTTCGTTCTTTAATCTCACCATTTAACTTAACCTCTGCGTGCCATGGCAATCTTTTAAAATGATGTTTTCCTTTAACATTAAAATCTACTATCTAATGTTCTCAGACACCATATCTGAAAGGCATTTATTGGTAAATATGTACAAACCATGCTCCATCTCCCATTTTCTGTGTTTCTACCTCTGCTATTATTTTCTGTGACTGCATTTGGACATCATACGAAGTCATAATGACTGGGTTTGCATGA